CGTTGCACAGCCCCTCCATCTCCTTCCTCGTGAAGCGACCAGATGCCGCCGTCGACTTGATGATGATCTTGATCTCCTTGCCGTCCTTGCCGCCTGCCTTCTTCTGCAGTCTTGATGCCTCGCTGAACAGAGTCAGATGTACTCCCTCCATCGCTTCGCTCTCTCGGAAAGCTCGAAATGCTGCGTCGCTGGCCTCCGGACCGCTGGAAGCAGACAGTGGCGCAGCAGCTGATAGCGGTACTACGGTAGACGTCAGCAATCTCTGCTGTCGTCATGCCGCCCAAGGTTAGCAGGTGAGTCAGCTCTGCCAAGCTGCCGCAGTGCCCCTTTTGCCCCAGGGTCCTCTCTTGGCTCGAATCTTGAAAGATCGATCGTGCACGATGCTCACATGTACAGCTGTGAACTTGCGACCCTCGATCGTGAAGTCCTCTCTTCCCTGCCAAAGCTTCTCCGCTTGTGCATTGCGGAGGAAGGAAACAGTCACCGTGCCGGGATGTCATCAGCGGCACCCGGTACGCCTATTTATCCGTCTAAAGGGGTTTCCAGCCTTGGGAGGTTGGCCCTTGGTTGTCCTATGAGCCCTTAGGCCCGGTTCACAGTCAGTTGTCCGTATTAGGTATTTTCAGTGTCGTTGTCCTCCGGGCCCTGCTCAAGTCCGAGCCCGGTGCTCCTTCCTGTTGTCGCTAATAAGTGTCGTAGCCTCCCCCCTTCCCTCCCCACATGTAGTCTGCCACTGTGGCAGGGCTAGACCTTCTCCTGGCATGGCTAGACCTTCTCTTCTTCCCTTCATCTTCTTCCCTTCTTCTCTTCTTCCCTTCGTGTGTCCTATTACTTCGAGCAGCGCCTGCGTCCTTGGTGCCAGGCTTGTTTTCCTCTAAACCCTAAACGAATCTAAAAATTGGATACGCACTTCTACACCATAATTCTTCCTTTGACACCTGCAATTTACGTTACCTGCATGATGTCTGTATTCTCGCTCAGCCTGAACATCTCTGTGCACAAACCTGCATTTGATTTTTTGTTCTTTCTTTCTTTCTTTCAGATTTGTCTATCGGCGTCCTTGGCCATGAGGTTCGAGCTATCTCGACCCCACAGGAAGGGAGAAGGGGGTTGAAGGATGTGAGGGGGGTTTCGCCTACGGTGATATTCTTCCCTTTCTTGCATTCTGGAGCATGTGCAGAGCCTCCAAGAGTTACTTGATGGGTGCCGTCCTGCTTTCAATCCTTTCCGTCATACGAACACCGTAACAAATACCAAAGCAAGAATATCGTTGCATGGAAGAGATGAAGATAGCTTTGATCGGTTTGCAATGCGAAGAGCAAAGGACACTCCAAGCTCGAGGAATATGACATGAACATCTTTTAAGAATGGGAACATGCCTGCCTTCACTATGATCCGCGAACATAAGAACCAGCAAAGAGGCCGCCCCTCAAATTCTACCGTCCTCAACAAATCTGAATTGTATGACCTGTTGCACAACTTATCATGCAAATTGCATGTCAAAGAGATTGTTATAGACTTGATCTTCTTGAAATCTGAAGCGAGGCTCATGTTCAAGAAAGCATAATTCAACGATTTTACCTTATAGTCTGCAAGTATGTATCTTTCCACACATGGCACAGAACCACATCAAAAACCTTCAAGCTTATTGATGCAGCGAAGTTTCAAAAGAGTCTGTAGAGCTTTGAAGAGGTGTAGCAATTTTGAAATCAAAGAGTTTTCAGCTGTTGGATTTGATGTTCATGCGTGCATTCCAGATGGCCTCCATGACTACACTGAGTTGTACCACTAAATGTCGAGATGCCAACAGGAGTCTACAAGAGTGTTGCTCAAGCTATGTCCAAGTACACTCCTTAAAACGTGGATAAATGATCGGCCACTGTACGTGACCGGGAGAACAAAGTTCACATCCAGGCACAGAAGCTAAGTCACATTCTCTAAAGCGCTCATAGCTGCGGCGAATGATGTCGCTGAAGGCGTCCAAATCTGCAAACTGTGAAGAAAGAGATGAAGGTAACACTGAAAGATCGATCTTCACATTCATCTGAGAATATCGCCAAGAGAAGATGCATGAATAAACAATACCTGCACCCTAAACACACAATCTAACAACATCCGAAATAGCGAACAGAAACAATGACTGAAATACAAATTTCTACAAATAAACACCAATGTCGAGAGTTTGACAACAGCGTAAGAAATAGAAATGAAAAACTCAAAGCAAGCACCAAAGACTGCAAGTTCAATGGCAAAAACCATCTAACGAAAATAAAGCTTCTAAGTTTGGATATCAAAGATCATCATAAGCACATGACTGATTTGATGACTGAGCAATTACAGTAACAGAATCATGTTTGTTTATTGTTATCATATCAAAAATTGAAACTCTCCAAAAACAATCTGATAAGTGAAAAGAATACATGCAATCCACTGTCTGTTTTGCGCATGGATCGAGAAAGCACTCTCGACTCCACTGCACGGCCAGCGAGGGCCGGGTCCTGTCACGGAGTAATGTTACACGCCTTCAGGGTTACCCCTGAGAGCGGAGCATGAAGCAGCTAGAGGACTACATGCCTGAAGGTGTAAGACTACTGCTTGTTTCCTGAAATTGACTGCGTGGCAGCTGGAGAATGGCCTTCCACGTAGGGATTCGTCTGATCTCTTCTGAGGCTTGCGAAGGTGTGGTTGACATCGCGGTGGTTTGCCTCGTCCATGCGTACCGCAAGCATCAGATCCCGCATCGACGCATCCGGCCGCAAGTGCCAGTAGTCGATGGCAATCTGAGGGGCGGGCTGGGTCTGCCAGTGCTTGAGCTTGCCATTGTCGATCTCGTGGATGATGTCGGTGTAGGTCTTGACTGCCTCCTCCTCGAGGTACCCGACAAAGCGATGACAAAAGCGAGGGCTGGCGATGTAGGCGACAAAGAAGAGGTTCATAAAGATCCCCTGGGTAGCAACGACGGCTGTGCGGAAAGCGTAGCTGGGCTTCTTGAGCTTGACAAACGTGAGCAAGTGCATGCGCTCGTTCTCAGCCTCCTCGAGCAGCGTGTGGATCCATCCATGATCACGATCCATGCGACGAAGAGATCGGAGATGGCGGAGCATTCCTGCTGTCATTCCTGGTACCGCTGCTACTGTCTCAAGGAAGCAGATGCGACTGATGACCTTGGACTCCGTGAGCTCGCCGAAGCGAAAGCCCGAGAAGGTATCGAAGGACCAGCGGCAGAGCTTGACTCCACTGAACGCAAGGCGGTCCACAAAATCTTCCATTGGTCTATGAGTCTTCCTCACTCCGTTGACCTCCTCGTCGGTCCAGACTGAGTGATGCATGGGGTTCTCCCAGATGGGCTTGTCTCCTACGACAGTTTTGCTGACTCCCAGGGGATGCTTGTTGGTGGAGGTCTTGAAGTGCACCATGTCGTGGACGATCTTTTCGTCCCCCATATTGCGAGGGGTGATCGAGAAGGAGCGGAAGAGCACAGAGGGCCCTTGGAAAGCCACTGCGGCATAAGACGAGGCGGGGGCTCGGGCGATAGAGCGGGCGATGGACCGGGCGAGCATGTTACTTGTTGTGTATGTTTGCAAGTATGCTCTCTCTCTTTCTCTCTCTGTGGAAAGAAGAGGGGATTGGTTGTGGAAGGGCGAGAGGGGGGCGGCTACAAATAGGGATCAAGGGGACTGCAGTCACAGAGCATCAGGACCCACACCAAACAAGGGGTTCATCATAGTGGGATGCAGGGGTGCTTGTATACGAAGGGGGTTCTGCTCCGAACTTCCGAAATCTCGTCGCTTGGGGTAAGCCTTAAAGGGTCTTACGTCATTCTGGTACTACTGGGTAAGCCGGTTCAGAGTCGTCACTTGAGATTGTGGATTACATGGGGTAGTCAGCACACTGAAACCCCGGGCCGGGACCGTACGTAACTAAAGGGCCTCAACCCCTCTACACTGCCGTGGTGACCCGGCTCCTGGCACCGTGGGCCGCCTACTAGTACCCCTACCTACCGGCCGGGCCCAGCCTGAACACGTATCTTTTCTCTTTCTCGCCGTTTGGCCGTATCATAGTATCCCACAGCCGCCGCTGCTGACTGTTTCTTCTGACGAATGGCTCGCAGGGCTCCCACGTTGCCACAGTTCGACTGCCACAATGCACTACAAATACTAATTTTAAGTTAAAACGTTCGGACTACTGACGCGGGCCGCGGCGGCCCGGGGCCCAGCCTGTTACCGGCGTGACTCGCCTGGCAGGCCGCGCGGCGAGTCGGGGCCGCCGCCAGGCTGTTGACTCTCAACTTCGGAACTTTCGGACATTGAGACTCCCGGTTTGAACTTGACTCAGTGAGGCTTGTGGCAATGATGGGCCAGTGACTGTAGGAGGTCGGAGAGAAACTGTGACTTGCAAGTTGGCAAGTTGCCTTTGAGCTGACTCACTGACAGTGAGGCTCCGTGGCCCACGCCGTGACGTGATGGACTGTTCTGGCACCGACTCAAGCCGCAGTGGCACCGCCGGTAAGACTACTACCGTGACAGTCTCATTGCATCGGCGTGCGTCCGAGACTCCTGGCATGACTTCGACGCCAAATCATGAAAAAATAAACGGACAACAAAAATACAAAAGATGAACCTCTTAAACGTAAACTTGAATGAAATAATACAAAGGAATGAGGGAGATGAAGACAAGAAGAGCGATAGGAGCTAATAGAGACTATTGTACTTCCAGAACAACATAGCGAAGGTTCATTCAAACCTGTCAAAAAAACAAATGAACGGAAAACACCTAAATGTTTACGCGTTGTACAGAAAAACCAATAAAGTTGAACGAATCAAATTTTTCCTAAACAAATTAGAATTAGTGAAAACAATACATGAAATTGTAATTGTCAGGGTGGAGTCCTGTCACGGAGTAATGTTACACGCCTTCAGGGTTACCCCTGAGAGCGGAGCATGAAGCAGCTAGAGGACGACACAACCGAAGGACTTGGCGTACACACCAAGAGACTTCTTTCAAGCATTCGATGGGATTGCGCGGGAAGCTGCGGTCTCTTCAGCATGCGCCTGGACGTAGGGATTGATCTCGTTTTTCTTAAGGCTTGCGAAGGTGTGGTTGACATCGCGGTGGTTTGCCTCGTCCATGCGTACCGCAAGCATCAGATCCCGCATCGACGCATCCGGCCGCAAGTGCCAGTAGTCGATGGCAATCTGAGGGGCGGGCTGGGTCTGCCAGTGCTTGAGCTTGCCATTGTCGATCTCGTGGATGATGTCGGTGTAGGTCTTGACTGCCTCCTCCTCGAGGTACCCGACAAAGCGATGACAAAAGCGAGGGCTGGCGATGTAGGCGACAAAGAAGAGGTTCATAAAGATCCCCTGGGTAGCAACGACGGCTGTGCGGAAAGCGTAGCTGGGCTTCTTGAGCTTGACAAACGTGAGCAAGTGCATGCGCTCGTTCTCAGCCTCCTCGAGCAGCGTGTGGATCCATCCATGATCACGATCCATGCGACGAAGAGATCGGAGATGGCGGAGCATTCCTGCTGTCATTCCTGGTACCGCTGCTACTGTCTCAAGGAAGCAGATGCGACTGATGACCTTGGACTCCGTGAGCTCGCCGAAGCGAAAGCCCGAGAAGGTATCGAAGGACCAGCGGCAGAGCTTGACTCCACTGAACGCAAGGCGGTCTGCCAAGCCTTCTATTGGCTTGTGAGTCTTCCTCACTCCGTTGACCTCCTCGTCGGTCCAGACTGAGTGATGCATGGGGTTCTCCCAGATGGGCTTGTCTCCTACGACAGTTTTGCTGACTCCCAGGGGATGCTTGTTGGTGGAGGTCTTGAAGTGCACCATGTCGTGGACGATCTTTTCGTCCCCCATATTGCGAGGGGTGATCGAGAAGGAGCGGAAGAGCACAGAGGGCCCTTGGAAAGCCACTGCGGCATAAGACGAGGCGGGGGCTCGGGCGATAGAGCGGGCGATGGACCGGGCGAGCATGTCAAGGGATCACAGCAGAAGTGGCGGGGGTGAGGGGATGCTGCAAGTGGATGGTCGAATCAAGAACAGGCTTCTCTGTGAGGCTGGTGTGAGGAAGTAGACGAGGAGGCTACAAATACGGTGCGAGGGGGGGATGACGAGGAGACGGATCGACGGGATGCTCACAGAAGGGGGAGGGAACAAGGCGGGTGTGAAGAGGGAGAAGAGGGGGTGGGGGTGGGTTTTATGTCGATTGGTTTTTATGATGAGATTGGAAAGGGTGCGAATTCCGATGATCAGTGTCCGGAGTAACGTGTGGGTGCTGACATGGTGATGTGAAGGCGCCCGGCTGAGCGTTAGGGTTCTTGTGGGCTCAATCCCTAAGTGAAGTACTAACATTATGAAGGCCACCGATAGTCACCCTTGGGGGACTCCATGCAATGTATGAAAGAGGCGGTGCCATGTCATTGCCCAGGTTAATGAGCTTCTGAAGTTGAGGAAAGTTCAAGGGGGCGAGCGTGCGTGTCACCTTTTCTAGCTGGCGGGTGACTCAGCCTTCCCAAGTTCCTAAGTTGACGTTGCAGTGACTAGACCCGATAGTAAAATAATAACTCAAAACTTTAATAGAATAGTCAGCCTAATACCACATCGAGTCTCCTTCGACGATGTTTGGATCAGTCTTAAGCTACGTCTCTCTGCGTCTCCTTGGTCTGACCAGCAGCCATCCTGCCATACTAAAAGGAAGAAAGTTCATACAGGAGAATGGGGGAGCGGTAAAGTTGTCTTCTAAACCCCCCTCGCACCGTATTTGTAGCCTCCTCGTCTACTTCCTCACACCAGCCTCACAGAGAAGCCTGTTCTTGATTCGACCATCCACTTGCAGCATCCCCTCACCCCCGCCACTTCTGCTGTGATCCCTTGACATGCTCGCCCGGTCCATCGCCCGCTCTATCGCCCGAGCCCCCGCCTCGTCTTATGCCGCAGTGGCTTTCCAAGGGCCCTCTGTGCTCTTCCGCTCCTTCTCGATCACCCCTCGCAATATGGGGGACGAAAAGATCGTCCACGACATGGTGCACTTCAAGACCTCCACCAACAAGCATCCCCTGGGAGTCAGCAAAACTGTCGTAGGAGACAAGCCCATCTGGGAGAACCCCATGCATCACTCAGTCTGGACCGACGAGGAGGTCAACGGAGTGAGGAAGACTCACAAGCCAATAGAAGGCTTGGCAGACCGCCTTGCGTTCAGTGGAGTCAAGCTCTGCCGCTGGTCCTTCGATACCTTCTCGGGCTTTCGCTTCGGCGAGCTCACGGAGTCCAAGGTCATCAGTCGCATCTGCTTCCTTGAGACAGTAGCAGCGGTACCAGGAATGACAGCAGGAATGCTCCGCCATCTCCGATCTCTTCGTCGCATGGATCGTGATCATGGATGGATCCACACGCTGCTCGAGGAGGCTGAGAACGAGCGCATGCACTTGCTCACGTTTGTCAAGCTCAAGAAGCCCAGCTACGCTTTCCGCACAGCCGTCGTTGCTACCCAGGGGATCTTTATGAACCTCTTCTTTGTCGCCTACATCGCCAGCCCTCGCTTTTGTCATCGCTTTGTCGGGTACCTCGAGGAGGAGGCAGTCAAGACCTACACCGACATCATCCACGAGATCGACAATGGCAAGCTCAAGCACTGGCAGACCCAGCCCGCCCCTCAGATTGCCATCGACTACTGGCACTTGCGGCCGGATGCGTCGATGCGGGATCTGATGCTTGCGGTACGCATGGACGAGGCAAACCACCGCGATGTCAACCACACCTTCGCAAGCCTTAAGAAAAACGAGATCAATCCCTACGTCCAGGCGCATGCTGAAGAGACCGCAGCTTCCCGCGCAATCCCATCGAATGCTTGAAAGAAGTCTCTTGGTGTGTACGCCAAGTCCTTCGGTTGTGTCGTCCTCTAGTTGCTTCATGCTCCGCTCTCAGGGGTAACCCTGAAGGCGTGTAACATTACTCCGTGACAGGACCCGGCCCTCGCTGGCCGTGCAGTGGAGTCGAGAGTGCTCTCCCGGTCCATGCGCAAAACAGACAGTGGATTGCATGTATTCTTTTCACTTGTCAAATTGCTTTTTCCGGTAGTTATTTTGAGTAATTTGTAGTAAAGGAAACCTTCTTACTTACTATACATGACTCTCCACATAAAGATTTCTACATAGAGAGAAATTCTGCAGTCAATCCGTTTGTTTTTGAGATAGAGACAGATATGAAGGTAGTTGTGTGAAGCAGAGCTGCTGGTGTATTATGTTTATGCTTTATGTCACTGAAATCAACATATTTTTGTAAATTTTGGTTTTTTCCGTGCTCTACTGCTATTTTTTGCGAATGTATAATTTCATCATAGCATTCATTCCTTGGCAGCTTACTTGCGTTTTGTTGTTCGCTGGATACGAGTGCTTATGGTTTTGCGTAGAATTTAGCAGATGCAATTCCATGATATCTGTATTGCTCAGTCACAACATGCACGGCAACCGATTGAAATACGTTTCTACACCCTTCTTGATAATTTTTGCCTCCAGGATTGCTCTTTCTACTCTTCTTTGTTCCTGTTTTTAGGATTAGGCAGCAATTGAAAAAAGTGCGTGTAAAATCACTCCGGTCGATTGTATCATGCTTTTTTTTAGTTCCTTTTCGATGGCGCGTCGCCTTTTGCCTTTCGACTTCTGTTGATCCGTGAGCTCTCTTTCATATTCTCGCGGAACATACATCATGCTCGTGATCTTGATAAAACTTGACTTCTTCTCTGTCATTTGCAATCAATCTAAAATGAGGTAAGTGTCAAATCCTTGCTTGTGTTCCACAGGCGGTCGAACTTTTCACGCTGAAGGCTGTTGGACGGCCAAGGGTTCAAGTCTAAATTGTCAAAATGAGCCTATGCATGTTCGCGTTAGTATTCAGATATTGGTGGTGCCAATACACCGTCAAGGAGTCTTTGTCGACAAAAGGAAGGGGTCCCCATGTTATCAACTTTGCAACCTTCTCTTCCCCAACCTCAACTAATAGAAACAGAAGGTCAAAACTCGACAAAATCAAGAAATAATTTGGATAGAACCTCGAGACACTGATGACGCATCCTCTAGTAACTGTGTTTCTCCAGCAAACTGAATTTACACAATCACTTGTGCAAACTTGCTTTGATTAGTGAATGGAAAGGAGGGTTAGATTGCAAGAGGAATTAACTCGTCAGTCAGTGTAAGCAGCCAGAAGCACGATGGCAGACTCAGAGAATCGGACGGTCACCATGCATCACAAAACACTAAAACACTCATTCTGTATGACGCATGGGCTATGCGAATATCTGGATGACATTATGCTTACCATGTCGCCCTCCTCTCCTTGCTGCTCCTCTGGCCCCTCCTTCACATCGTTCGCCGACTGTTCAGCGCCCATGATGTAGCTCAGCTTGTCAACTCAGCGATTTTACTCAAAGTTAAGTTATATCTTTACTTAGCTGCGGAAAAATAGGGCCCGCCTCGCCATCGATGACGAAATATCTGCCTGAGGTGGGCCTGCATACATATAAAAAAAAACGACCCTGCATGGCGGGAATGTCGGCAGGACATATCGTGAAACAAGGAGAGGAGGATGAAGGAGGGTGATAGCTATCGACACCGTCGATCACATAATTCAGAGACTCGACAGAGCATTCAGTCATGCAGTTAGTTGCCCGCATTTACTGACAGAAGAAGCTGCAACGAGTGAGAAATGAAGTGCTATGGAAGGGAGCAGAGTCCTGAGAAGGATGAAAAGGTGCAGATGTTTTTTCAAAAGTACTAGAAAATGAAGATCCCTGTCTTGATTTGTCTTAGTAATGATCAGACCTAGATTTGAAGATCTTGACTCTCTGAGCTCAAAGTCATACCTCGCTCAGTCACATGTCAAACCTTGACGATGATGTGTTCAGAATGCCTCTGGACTTTGTTCCGTGGAGAAGCGGGATGTGGCTTGATGGAGTCCATGCAGACAAGTTAGGGTCTGCAGCTTTTATGGTGGACGCGTTACTTCTCACCACAATGGTGCTACTCCTCATTGTGCTTGCCTCAGTCATTGTTGGAAGGATCTTCATTTTCCGTGGAGAGATGCTAAACGGCTGGCTATGGTCCGATCATCTTTCATGCAGGTCGCTTGCATGGCTTGAACTCTGGGGCCGTGGAGTTTCTTATCCCGGAGATGCGCTGCCCGTGCGGTGAAGTTGTATGCTTGTGACGGAACTGTACTGACCCACTTTAAAAACAACAGACAGAAACGCCTCGGAAAGTGGAGGAAGGTGTGTATCATAATGCTGTTTTTGTAACACTTACGTTTTTTAACGACAGCAAGATGACATGGTGAAACTTGAACCTGGATGGACTTTCCTGTCTGCAGAAGAATCTCACGATTACTCCGAGAAGTTGATGCGGGACCAGTATGGTGTGGTGGACTGTATGAGCGGCGAGCCTTGTGGCAGACAAATCTGGGTGAAGCAGACTGCAAGTTCCTTGCAGACATCTCCATCATTCGACCCGTCCAAGAACCCGAACTCCTCAGACCTTCTCTACCGCGAGCAGAGACTCAAAGCGTGGAAGGGCAGAAAGCCTGAAGAAGAACACCTAGAGCCCAAGACAGCGAAAGAAGCAGCAGAGAAAGGGATTCGTTTCTATTCTATGCTGCAGAACGAAGACGGTCACTGGGGAGGGGACTATGCTGGGCCCATGTTCCTTATGCCCGGGCTGATTTTCACATGCTACATTACGGACGTAGATCTTGGAGCAAGAAAGAGGCAATGATTGCCTACCTCTGCAACCACCAGCAGGAAGACGGAGGGTGGGGGACCCACATCGAGTCTCCTTCGACGATGTTTGGATCAGTCTTAAGCTACGTCTCTCTGCGTCTCCTTGGTCTGACCAGCAGCCATCCTGCCATACTAAAAGGAAGAAAGTTCATACAGGAGAATGGGGGAGCGGTAAAGTTGTTCTTGTCTCATCGATCTCTGATGAATTGCTGCAGGTCACTTCTCCTTCTTGGGCCAAGTTTTGGCTGTCAGTTTTGGGAGTGCACGAGTGGGAAGGAGTGAACTCGATTCCTGCTGAGATGTGGCTTCTTCCTCTATGGTAGGGGTCCTCTCCCACAATGTTGTTGTCAACTTTTTCCCAATTCTTATCGTCTTGCTTTGGCTTACGCTCCTGTCCTTGCCACACCCATTAATTTTACTCTTATTCTTGCTCCTCGTGCTTGCTCCTGCTTCCGTCTCGACTTGTATTGTCACACAAACGAATTTGGAATGATGATGCTCGTTTTCATTTCGATCCTTGGCTGTCAATTTCATATATCACGACCATTGCTATTATTACCGCATCAAAATAACTCCTTCTTTGCGTATTTGTTCAGGTTTCCGTTTCATCCAGGGAAACTATGGTGTCACTGCCGCATGGTCTATCTCCCTATGTGCTTCCTTTATTGCACTCGTTTCACGAATCCCAAGAAGCTCAACGATCCTCTTCTTGAGCAGATCCGCAAGGAGATTTACGTCTCTTCCTACGACACTGTGCGGTTGAGAGAGGGAGTGATGCCTGTCTCAAAGGTCTGCAGGTGAAGTGGGACAAAGAGCGCCACTCCATCTGTCCCCTCGACGAATACTCGCCAGTCACGAGACTTCAGAAGTTTCTGCATGACGTGCTGTCATGGTATGAGACTCACCTCTCCCTCCACTTCCTGCCCCCCTTCTCCTGGCTGCGTCGAGCAGGTGTGAGCAACAGAGGTGAGCTGATCTCTGGAGATGACGAAGAGAAGGTGTGAGGACAGCCATGGAGTACATCGAAGCCGAAGATCTTCAGACTAACTTTATTGACATCGGGCCCGTGAACAAAGTGAGAAAACAAAAGTTTGCTCTTACAAGTGTGGGCCTTTCGTCGAAGAATGATTCATCTATAATTGTTTTTTTCAGCTCTTGCTGAATGTATTTCAAGTATGATTCTGAAAAATTGAAACTTGGTTGCTCACAGGTGTTGAATATGCTATGCGTTTGGGCTGATGCTGGATGCAAGACAACCCCCAATTTTTTTCGGTCAGAATGAATGGCTTCTGTTTCGAGCTCATGGCAACAACAGGCACATCCCAAGACTGGATGATTATCTGTGGGTGGCGGAAGATGGAATGAAAATGCAAGGCATGGAACTTCGAGATGTTTTTTTCAATTTAGCTCTGACATGATCAAAACTTCTGCAAGGTTACAATGGATCGCAATGTTGGGACACTTCGTTTGCAGTGCAAGCTATCGTTGAGAGCGGACTCGCAAACAAGTGAGAAGTTTGATTTGGAGGAAAATTTGTCAGATCAAGCAGTAGCAGTGAGACATAGATCAGTAATGGCCTAAAATTTGAAGTAGTTGTTGATGAAAAGAGAGGCTCGACGGACGATTTGCTAGTGTAACTTCCTTTGCACAGGTTTCCGGACACCTGCATCAAAGCGTATGATTACTTAGCTCGCACTCAAATTCTGAGCACGCCAATGAGCCAATCCTCTCGAGCCTACGAGTACGAGAGTGTAGAGAAGAGAAAACGGTGAGAGTGCACGGAGACATCACGACGGAGGAAGGCAGGGAGGGCTGAAGAAGAGCAAATGGAGAGAAGGAGGGAGGGAAGAAAGGAGGGAAAGAGGAAGAGGGTAGAAAAGCGAGAAGAAAAGAGAAGAGGAAGAAGGAATACAGACACAGAGAGATAACAAGACCAAGAAAAGCTCAGACAGATCACAGCGATCTCTTTGCATGTAATGTGGTTCCAGATACTGCACACTTGTGAAATGCTTCGACAAAATGTTATTCTGACGCTTTTGAATCAGATTCTTCCGACATGTTTCTAAGGGGGGTTGGCCCTTCTCCACCTCTGCTCACGGATGGTGAGAATATTTGGATCAGCTTTCTGCTCCCCCTAGCTCCCTACCTCCTCCTCCTCCTCCTCCTCCTCCTCCTCCTCCTCCTCCTCCTCTTCCTCCATGCCCTCACACCGCCCTGTCCTTTCGGCATGTAATCCCATGCTATGGTATACCTTATTTGTTCTTTTTACCCTTGGGTGTCCCTATCGTGTTTACTTTATTTACTTCTCACCAACAGGCCCATCAGCGATTGTTCGTCTGAAGGCCTCAAAGCCGTTCTGTCACTCCACTCGCTTGCAGGACTATCAGAGCAAACGGTACGACGCTGCAGAAATAGATATAAATATGGAAAGGATTGGAGAGAGAAGCTGAGAAGGGCAAGGCAGGAGATGCTGCTGCTGCTCATGAGCAGCAGCAGCAGCAGCAGCAGCAGCAGCAGCAGCAGCAGCAGCAGCAGCAGCAGCAGCAGCAGCAGGAGAAGCAAAAGCAAAAGCAAAAGCAAAAGCAGAAGAAGATGGAGAAGCAGAAGCAAAAGCATCTGATTCTCTCCTTACGCGCTGATAGATTTCTGGAACGATTTCTGATGAAAGATTATTTGATTGCGCACATCTGCTTTTGACGTACCAGGTGAGTTTCAATTCTCGTTGTTGTGTCTTTCTTCGCTCTCCTGCCATTGACGCACATTCCAGAACGCGGATGGAGGATGGGCGACGTATGAGAACAACAGAGTATGCAAGAGAAGGCAGAGGCAGATGACTGAGAACGCGTGTAGGGCTTCGGCTTCTATGAGTGGATGAATCCAAGCGAGGTTACATCTCTTGTTTAGTCTCCTTCACTCCTTGCTTCCTAGTCTGCCTTTTCCTTTTGAAACGTTTCCATACGTTTTTGTTGCCTTGCCCACTTCAAGTGCAAACATCCTCTTGTTTGATGATATTTCATACTTCTCATCATAGTTTGCTGGCTTTTCATTTCTCCAATGCCTAAGCCATGTTCTTGGAATGGTGGAGAACTTGGGGAATCTGCTGCTAATCGTGTTTTCCGATGCTTTCTCCACTTCCTTCGTACTCTCATCTTGCAACTGACTTCAAGCAGGTCTTCGGAGACATCATGATAGACTACTCTTATGTCGAGTGCTCCTCTGCATCCATGACAGCTCTGGCAGGTGTGATGTTGTTTACAGAGGATGAGAGGAGTTGTGCATCACGATGAACCAGACATTCTCTTTGCCACACTATTGCATCATAAACGCAAGCGCTCTCAATATAGTGACTTTTCTTTGCTACAGCTTTCAAGAAGTTTTATCCTCATCACAGATCGAAGGAAATCGATGGAGCTCTTAAGCGAGGGGCTCGTTTCATCCGCAGGTACCCTCGTCGTCCTCGTGCACTTCTTCGATGAGATATCCTTCATTCTCACCTTCACCTTCCTCCTTCCAAAGCCCTGAATTCCTTTCTCGCCCTACAGCATGTGACATGATTTACTCGCGTCATCTCTTCTCTCCTTTCTCGCTCCGCCGCCTCTTCCCATTCTGCTCCTCCTCATTTAATTCTCAAAGCTGATCATTGTTGCAGCATTCAACGGCCCGACGGCAGTTGGTATGGCAGCTGGGGTGTTTGTTTCACGTATGGAACATGGTTCGGCATCGAAGCGCTTATGGTGAGGAGGCAAAACAAAAAGCTTCAAGGGTTAAGAGTTTGAGGCAGACAGCCGGATGCTCCTCCGACGACGGTAGTGTGAGACTTGCAGTCAACTTCCTTCTTTCCAAGCAGAACAACAACGGCGGGTCAGTGAAGTTTTCCGTTCCTATCCACTCCCTCTCTCCTTTTTCCTTCTCTGGTTTCCACCTCTTTCCTCCCATCTCTTGCCTTTCGTGCTGCCCTTCCAGCTCCAGCCTCCTCATTCGCAGCCACCAGATGGGGTGAGTCCTACCGATCCTGCGTCGACAAGGTTTACGACGGGAGCGAGGTGACAAGCATTCGTCTGCAGCGTTTGACGGCATCCTGATCTTGTTGTGTAGGAAGCCTGCTACGGTCGGGGAGGCTCTGGAGTCGTGCAGACAGCGTGGGCGCTGCTCGGCCTCATGGCAGCCAAGGTTCATCTCCCCGAGGAGGTTTATGTTTTGCTTCCCTGCTATTCTTCCGCCGTCTGACCTCCAACTGTAGGTCCATGCGGTGGAGCAAGGAATCAAGTATCTCATGAGTATGCAAACTCCAGCAGGGGACTGGGAGCAGGTGAATAGAAGACGGCAGGCAGAGGGAGAGGGGAGATGGGAAGGATGAGGAGGATGACCCGTGACGTGATGAGCAGGAAGGAATCACAGGCGTCTTCAACCGCAGCTGCGGCATCACCTACACTCAGGTTATCAACCAAGTTGGGAGGGGGGGCGATTGGTGGAACGGGAAGTGGAAGTCAAGATGAGGGTAGAGGAGAGAATGGAAGTTATGACGAGACACTGGAGGCTTGCCGGGGAGGAGGAGGGACGGACTACTGTTGAAGAGCTGACATGTTTCACAGTACCGCAACATCTTCCCTCTATGGGCACTTGGCAGATATGACGAATGGAAACAACATGCAACGAAGTGATGTGTGTAGTATTCATTTCATCTGCTTATGAGAGGTTATGAACACCTCTAAACGTATTACAATGAACGTGTGAACAAGGTAGACAATCACGCCGTCACAAAAAATCAGTTCGAAATGAAAGAGGTTTTCATTCGGTGATAAGCGAACAATAGAATGATTTGAGGAGACCCTCTAGTAGAACCAAGCTCCTCCAAGCTGATTGTTGACATCAAGCTGCAAACTAGTTACGTATCGCAACAACTTTCTCTGTCCACCAACGTACCTTGTAGGAATCGCTGGCAAAATACTTCTGGAGGGTAGGAAGAGCACGGAAACGCTTGTAGAACTCATGGCACTTGGGGAACTTGTCGAGGATGGAGGGCTTACCCATCTTCTTCGCCAACATCTCGTGTTGGTCCAACATCTCCCAGATGTGGAAATCGCAGGTGACGGGCTCAGCCCCGCAGAAGAAGTCGGTCTTGTAGAAGTTGAGCCAGGCCTCGAACTTGGCGAAAGGAGGGTCCTCCACTTTCTTGATTGCAAGAGCCTCAAACTCCTCCTTGTTACGAGTAACTTGCTTGAAGGGATAGACCAAGTCGATCATTCCGTTGCGAACATCGTAGATCTCGCACAGGAGCTGGTTGTTCTTGAGCTTCGCTTCCTCGTCTGTCCCGCACATTTTGAACTTCTCGCCCAGGTAGTTCATGATGGAGTTCTGCGAGAATTCATCATGCAATGACCACCCTTCAAGGTACTTTTCTCACCGTTTGGCAAACGACCTTGTCGCCATCAACAAGGTAAGGAAGGTTTGCCAGAGGATTCTTGGCAAGCAGCTCAGGCTTCCTACCCTTAAACCAGGCGTCTCCATCCGCATATTGCTTGTCTTCGAATTGAACTTCCTTGTACTCCAGAATCATACGACAGACGGCACCGAGGCCGCGAATTTTCCTGTTGTAACATCATCAACATGAAGAAACCAGCGCATTCAAAGGATGAGCATTAAGATGTTCAATCATGGACTGTTGCACCACAATAATTGAATAATTGGCTGCTATGATTGTCAGGTGGCATTGTAATCCACTCTGACCCATCTCTCGATTCTCATCACCATCATCATCATCGTCGTCGTCATTATCACCACCACCACACCATCACCACCACCATCGTCACCATCATCATCATCATCATCATCATCGTCATCGTCATCGTCATCATCATCATCATCATCATCATTATCATCTCCACCATCTCCACCATCTCCACCATCTCCATCATGCACATGTCACAAGAGGAACCATCATGCACAATCCATCAATGTGCATGATTCTACAGTGAATGCATAAACCACTAGCTTGTTTCTTCAAGTATCTTGACTCACCAGTAGCCAAACTCCAGCGTCGCCATGTTCGCTTGCCGCGAGGATTCTTTATATCTGAGGGCACCCACCTTCTTGCTACCCCCGTTTTCTACCCATCCACCCCTACCCCATAGATCATACTTTTCTGATGATCCATGGTATTTCCTCAGGGGTGGATGGAATCTGTACCCCCGTGAAAAAATGCAAGAACCTTAGGTAATATGGGGTGGGAGGTTAGACGAGATTCCAGAACACACCATCATGGGGCCACCCACCCCACCCCACCCCACCCCACCCCACCCTGCACATCATGCGCCACTCCGGGCCGAGGCTCCCCACCGTGCGCCAGCAGTGCCGCACTGAGGTGAGTCATTTTCAATGACTGTGAGTCATCGCCGGGCCGCCCCGGGCCCGGCGGCCGGCGGCTGTCGGACTGACTCAGAGGGCCACTGTCACAGCCTGAGTCGGCTCCGAGTCGCCCGACGGCGACGGTGACCGTACCGCCCGGGGCCGGACTCCGATCATACTACCGTTTTACTGACTCGGCTCCGGCCTTGGCAACGGCGGCATTGGAATCAGTGCCGCGCAGTCACCGTACCGTGCCGTGCCGGGAGGCAAAACTTGAAATCCGGGAGTCAATGATTCTGGCGGCCTCAGCCCGGCGCTAGTCCGGAGTCCCGGAGTCCGGCGAGCACTGAGTGCGGGCAGGGCTGCTGAGCGACGCCGTCGCCGGTCGTATGACCCTACTATATAAAAGACTTTTGTTTGATTTATCAGAGTACAGAAATTATTACTCATTTATTGGGCTGCACAGTATCGCCCTACGACTCTGCAAGAGCCTAGTGGCATAGCCTCTGCTATGACCCGGTTGAAGCAAGGGCTCTACTAAGCTAGTCGCTTGTATTGAAGCTAGGACCTCTTGTTCTAGGAAGCTGCATAAGGCTGATTGGCGCACTGAATCCCCTGCACCGGCCATAGGTCCCTCCACTGCCTCACAGAGAAGATGCGTGGAAAGGGGGTCCTCTTCTTCACAAGTTGAAAAAACTCCATCAAATAATATATCTAGTGTCCAAATTGTCAGTGAAAATATCTCTTTTTTCAAAATATCTTAGACTTCGATACCGCACAGAAATACTCCAATGAAATCGGAAATACTACCTACAGACCGCCGAAGTCGGCGGGCGATACGATCGGATGCGATGGCAGGGTGTGCACAAGACATCGGACTTGGGCTAGAATACCGCACAATACTGATCGTTTCATGATCATATCTGCCATGCTCACACCGTTACATCACTCAGTGATCCTCTCTGCCATCCTCTGTTTGAGAGTTTGTGCTCCTTCATGGTCTCTTTCATTACATTATCATTCTCACATAGGCTAAAGGTCAAGTGGAAAATTGAGCGAATGTGAGGGAAAACATGATGATCTACCATGATGCTACTTTTTATCTCAGTTTCAGATCGTGGAAGAATCAACCTCACCCTTGCTGCAGGTTACCAGGCTGCAGAAATGCCAACCAGCCATTTCAAAATTCAGGCGCGTCTGCCGGAGAAGAAGGGTGCATTGAGGTGTGTTTTTGAAGCGACGCAAACGCAAATATCTGAACAATCACTCAAAACAGCAAGAAAGGACGGTTGCTTGGAGCATGGGTAACAAGATGGTATAGGTTGGAATGGCAAAGTGGAAATGCAGTACTTTTGGCATACAAGACTGCAGCTATGACTGGAGCGCCGAAGAACATATCACTTGAGCAGTGAGTTGAGATTTGATTTCCCTTTGCACGATCTAATCACAGTATCTACAGCTGCTATGTGCGCTCATGCCCTGACAAGGATCTCAAGTCGGGAGACAACGGTTTCTGCATAGAAATCGATGCTCGACATGGTACAGTCAAGAAGATGTTTCACCTTTATGCGAAGACACAACTTGAAAGAGATGAATGGGTCTTCACTTTGCGAAAATACGCCGTGAACACTTCTATCGAGAACGGATATGAGGTAAACAGAGACGACAAGACCATGAAACTCGGGAGCGGCTCGTATTCAACTGTTTGGAAGTGTCGGGACAAAGAAACAAACAAGGTCTGTGGCATGCTGTATTGTGATTGAAGTGGTTTCTTGTGAAATGAATTCTATACAGTATTGGGCACTGAAAGAGATGATGAAGTCAAATGTCAAGAAGGATGAAGAAGAGCATTTGAAGGTGACCCAGTTTACAATGGTTGCACTTTTTGTGAAATGTTTGAATGGTATAGGAAGAAGTACGTATTAGCACTATTGTTGGATCTCACGACAACATTGTTTATCTCAAGGAATTTGTTGAAAACAAAGATAGGTATATCCTTGTATAGCAGTTGACAAGATGTGAAAATTGAACGCAAGGTATTACTTGGTACTCGAATATCTCTCCGGAGGTATCAAGATGGCTTCTTGTAACTGGAACAAGAGCCCATTTTGATGAGAAATGGCAGGCGAGCTTTTTGATCGCATCGTTGAAGCTGACGGAGGACACTTCACGGAGAAAGATGCTTCAAGGATCATGCAGCAAGTCTGGACCTTACAATATTGGTTTTGAATCTAAAATGTTTCAGGTAATGAGCGCTCTGAATTACCTTCACGGAAAGAAGATTGCTCATCGAGATTTAAAGCCAGAAAATTTTCTCCTAGTGGACAATTCACCAGTGAAGCAGGCGCGAATCAAAATAGCAGACTTTGGGTTTGCCTGTAGTGCCGAAGGTCCCAATAGTTTGCAGGGGCTATGTGGTTCGCCGGGTTATGTTGCTCCTGAAGTTCTGAAAGAAAAAGATGGCTATGGTCTTCCAGTCGACATGTGGAGCATGGGCGTCATACTATACATCCTTCTAACCGGCATCCCTCCTTTTAATGGCGAAAGCGACGAAGACAGTCTCGCTCTCACCGTTCGCGGACATTATGAAAAATCGGTTTTTGTTGTCAAGCTTTTGTGATTTGACTAAGTTGTTGCGTAGCATTTAGAAGATTTGTCTGAGCCCGCAAAGGATCTTGTGACCAAAATGTTAACATACAATCCAGCGAAGGTCAGCATCTCAATTCATCTCCGTCTGTCTTACACGTTAACAATCTTAGAGATTGACTGCTGATGAAGCCTTCAAACATCCATGGCTCCGTGGCTCTGCTACAGACAATCTTCTGAACGTCCAGGAGAACTTGAGATCATGGAGAGCACGCATGAGATTCAAGAAAGCAATCATTGCCACAGTTGCAACGACCAGGTAAAGCATTCTCTGTCTTATTTTGGCAGACCAGCTGATGGTTTCGTCAAAGACTTCATGCAATAATGCGAAGAGCAGCTGCAAGATCGGATGCTAAGAGAGAAGAATGTAAGTTTGTTTATTTGTGTCTGTGCTGTCTGACTTGATCGTAATAGCTGATGAAGACAAGTAAATCAAGTTTTGCAGCTTTTGGTATCGTGCAGACTATGCTACACTCATGGGGAATAGTGTCGTCAGCAACTCCAACATTCCGGATTGGAGTGCAAAACAGTGTTCTGTTACATATCCCCCATATTTGAAATTCTCAGCACTTCTCAAACGTTCGTTTCCCAGAATGCTCCAATGCAGAAAACTCAGAGAGAGAAGATCGAAATCCTTCGAATTTGTTTTAAAGAACATTTTCATTCACCTTTTTGTTTATTGTTGCCACCTTCATTAAAGGAGCTAGAAGTATCTTTTCCCAGTGCAGAAATTGCTCTCATCACAGCAGACGTATCGCCCTTCCTCTCCTTCTTCTTGACGATCCGCAGCAGTTGAGCTCTCCTTCGACCAATGACTCCGCGGATCCATGCCTGAGCCTTGATAATGTGGTCCGACTGATTCACGTAGTCGATGAAGCGTGACAAGACCTCGTGGTTTACGCGGCTGCCGGCCTGCAAGTTCTTCACCTCCTTTGCGACCTCCGTCAGAGCCTCTCGGCAGTTCCTGTTGTCTTCCCCCGTTGCAAACTCAATCAGTAAGTTGTTGGCCGCATTCCTCACCGAGGGGTCAAAGGAGTCCAACCATCGAACCATCCTTGGCCAACTCCGCATGCGCACTACTTGTTCTTTGACGGAGACGGATTTGGAGAGGTTCTTCATGATCTGCAAGATAAGAGCTTGCTGCAGTGGATCATGGGTGTCTGTCAGGATCTCGAGCGCTTGCACTAACCCGCGTTGAGCAAGCTTGTCGATGAATTGCATGTTTTTGCTGAGCTCGCAGATAGAAAGCATTGCTGTTCTTGGCAAGACAGGATTTCCTGCAAGTCTGAGTGCAAAATCGATTATGTCCAGATATTTTTTGTTGCTGCTAATTGTTTCAGACAATTTCTCATTTGCAGCCATGAGGCAAATAAGTTTGAGGCAAGTTTCCTGCACATTCCTGAAATTGCTATACAGATGAAGGTTGATGAAATTTTGGGCTGCACCAGCAGTGAAGAAGATAAATCTGATCTCTGTCATTTTCATCATCAACTTTTCCATCACTTCTAGGACCTCATCTACAAGAACGATACATCTTAGTTTTTGGAAGGACATTTCCACACATTCGCCGATAGATGACATGGAGACTTCAGGGTTTTTTGCAACCATCCGAGCATAGCGAAGAAGTTTCTGCTCGTCCCAGGTTGCCATCACCCCATGGGTAGGGAGCATTGCCTCTACTTCTGTCTTTGTCTTTGGTAGGAGACGAAGTAGTCTGGCTAGAAAGGGCTCAAGATTAGCTCTTGTGAGAACCGACGACGACCAAGAAGTTTCTGCCAGCACAGATATCAGCATGAGTGCAGCCATCATCATGGGAAAGTCTTTTTGGAAGCTGTTTCCGTCCATGGCCTGATGGAGCACATCCAAAATGTCTGTGTTGGCCAGTATAATTGGGGTGTACGCCTCCGAGCACAAATATCGGAGACCAAGAAAGATCTGCTGAGATGTCAGGAGAGGACAGGTTTACAGGTGCAATGCAATATTTGGGGTAAACAGCTTCACATGTGCAAAATGACATCGGGTGTAGACAGTTTCATGTAACCACACACAAAAGACCTGGGTTGTCACGTTGGCATCTTTTGACTTGAAAACCGAGATGAGTTGAAAAATTTGTTCGGTTGACCACAATTCTGCTTTGATCTCAATTTTCCTCTTCCACTTCTGTTCTTTCACATGACTATAGCCCTCACACAGACAGTGCAACCCGTTCGCTGCATGGCCTCGAGTTACCTTGTCTCTCGATTGAGTTAATCTGCACAGCATGTACACGAAGCCACTTTTCATGAAAGTCCTTCTTGCTTGCATGGTTTCTGATTGTGCTAAGATGGCAACAATCTCAGCAGCTAGTCTCATTTCAGTGACCTGGTCAGGCTGGACACTTGAAGTCGGATCAACAAAAGCATCAGCTTTCGAAAGATGAAGAAGCTGCTCGCCACCGCGTGGGCACGAGAAGAAGTGATTTCTGTTTGCTTCTCGGGTCAGCAGTTGGGTGAGAGACTTGAGCGACCGGCTTCTGACTTGTGGGTCTGACGACGAGAGGAAGTCTGGGGAAAGGCAGTCAGAGAACTTTCAGTCGAGGAGGTCACAACGCGCGTACCGATAAGCTCCTCTACCAGCCCTGCGTCTCCCAGCGTCCTCTTGTCCGCCTCAGCGTTCTCGGCGATGATGGTGACGGTTGCCGCCACATCTCGCTGGAGCATCGTGCTTGCCCTCGCTGAGTCCATGAGAGCCGCATAGTCGCTGCTCGCCATGGTGGGGCGGAGCGACTGAGGGAGAATCATGGCAATGCGTCGCTTGAAGTAGGGGTTCGACAAGTCTCCGCGCAGCCTCGGATGCGGCATCTTGCGTCGCCAAGCGAAGGGACGGCTGATGCCCGTTTGCAAGGGAGGCTGAACAAATTGACGATGGTCATAGACAGAAAGAGAGTCATGGTCTGATCGAAGAGTAGGCATTCCAACATCTCCTTCATCCTCCTCCTCCTTCTTGCCCTGGCTGAGTGTCGCCTCTTCGCCGCCACGAGAATCACCTGACGTTGAGTTCCGTCTGTCTTCCTTCTTGGAGGTCTGCACGTCTTTGAGGAGGAGAGACGCAGTGCTGCTGGCCCTTGCAACAGGTGTCAGTGAGCTGATTGTGGTCTTCCTGGAATTAGGCGATCGCTCCTTGGCGTCTGCAGCTCCTCTTACTTGTTCAAACGCAACCTCTTTCTTCGACATGTCCTTCATAACCTTCCAACTCACCCTCCGTCTTCCCAGGTTGAACTTCTCTTCTTCATCGTCAGTGAGCTCTTGCTCACCATCAGCTGGCCTTGTGATCTCCTTCAGTACGTTCACGAGAGGATTCGACTGCCATCGCCGTTCTGCGCTTTGTGACATCTTTCGATTCTCGTTGCCGGAATTTCTCATTCTTCCCACCCGCCCTGGACGGTACGATGCTCGACAGCCTGGGAGACGTGAGGGAGGGAGGGAATGAGAGGAGGAGGGAGGGGAGAGGAGGGAGGGGA